TAAATATCTCCAGATCCAAATATCGCTCATACACTCAAAGTTATTTTTACAAGTTGATTAATGAATTTGATGTTAGTTTTGAGAGACCTAATTGTTTATTTCCAAATAAATCAAACATTTATATTCAGTGTATTATGATTTGATAAATTTATGATAATTCAAACAGTTCTTGTAGGTTACAACTTGTATGTTTTCTGATCTTATATGGTTTCCTCCCTTTCATCTTTTATCTGTACATATACCCCTTATTTAATCCTTATTTGTATTTGACTAGCTAGTAAAGTACAGGTGCTTTGCACGAAGAGCATACTTGTTTTGATTTATATTTTCAAATTTTTTATTATATGCAAAATAATGAAATGACTTGTATAGCAATATAAAATCTAAACAATTATAATTTTGTTTAAATGAATAAATTTTACGATAAAACTGTGTATAAAGTACTGTATGATTAACTATTCTAGTTTAGATAATTGTTATAATTTATTCATAATTTATTGAAATAATTATAATACTATTATTGAATAATTTTTTCTCTTTTAAATATACTAATCTACATAGCATAATTATAATACTATTATTAGCTACATTTTAATTTCATAATTAGTTTATTAAACTATTAGTAAATAATTCACTAAATTATATAATTATTAAATTACAGTGTAATTCATTAATTTAAAAAACACTATTAAAATTATTATACCATTAATACTATTTCAATTATAATGAAATAATATGTGTTTCGTAGGTTAAGTTTTACAATTCAGAAAGGATTAGCGGCGCAACTTGTTGCCCGCTTGTCATCATCACATGTGTAATATTTTTATATTAATGAGATATATGTTTATTACTTTTTTTTGGTAATGAAGGCTATGGAATTTTACACTTGTCATTATAATAAATATAAAATATTTTTTATAATACTATCATACTTTTAAAAGGTTAATAAGATGAAATATAACAGCGAGTCCCCATAAGAGGTGAAACCCAAAAGCATAAGATATAAGTCTAATGAATTTTTATTATTTTAAATTTTTTAGAATTCTAAATATCATGTGAAGATAAATTTGGGATAAATTTCAAATTTTCTATTTAATAACATAATAAAATAATAAAATAATAGTGTGACCAAAGGTTTTGAAAAAGTGAAGAAATACATAATTAGTGAGATGTTATATATAATTAGTGAATGATTAATTACAACTAATGATCTATTTAAAAATTATCAAACTTAGAAGGAAATAAAAATAAAAATAAAAAGTTTTGACAATGCAATACTCTTTTATATGTAGTATAAATATAATTAGATTTTGGTGGAAAAATGGACTAAGACTTTGGCCTTATTTGTGTTCACATTCATATATATATATATAATTAGTAAGAGGATATAGATATGATATATGATATATGACGCATATCATATCCTTAATCCGTTGTCAAAAAACATTAGATGACTCTAAGTTGAGATAGTTTTTATTCAAAACATTTCTATATTATTCAAAATATTTCTATATTTTCATCTTATTTTTTCTCCTAATATCAGCTTTGTAAGCTTTGTAATCTTATATGTTCTCTCTAATTCAATTTGTATCTATATTTGAGTTGGTGAATATGGACTATAGATTTTTCTTACGAAATCATATAATATTCATACTTGTATCCACTATTAGTAAGCGAATCTTAATTAAATAAACGTAACGATAATAAATAACTCAAAAAGTTGAAGGTAATTGTTTCCTCTTTTAAATTTAGCAAGGACTAGGGCTGAGCATGGTTCGGTCCAAACCGAAAAAACCGACCGAACCGACCCGAAAAAATCGGTTTTATGAGTAGGACGGTTCGGATCGGTTTGAAAACTTTTTAACTCGAACCGACCCGAACCGACTGAATATAGTGCAATACTACCCATTCTGATTTCAAACCCTACCCGACCCGTCCTCAAAGAGTCAAAGACTCAAACTCTAAACTCATTTTCTGGATCATTATGGGTTAAAAACAATATCATTATATTAGTGTTTAATGCTTCATAATCTCCTACTTTGTTGATATTTTTTTTCTTTAACACAATTTGTTGTTTGATAAGAAGTTTGATGAAGTTAGAACCGAACAAACCGAACCGAACCGCACCGAACCGACTTGCAACAGTTCGGTTCGGTTTTGAATTATAGGTGGTTCGGTTCGGTTGTTTAAATTTTGGTAAAAACCGAACCGAACAGACCGTTGCACACCCCTAACTATCTTAACTCCCTCAACTCATTTAGCCACTAAATGGGCGGGGTTTTAAGAAAATAAAGAGAAAAACTACAAATACTCTAATGATGGGCACGTGGACGGGGACAAGAACCCCGGATATGAGAGTAGTTATTACGAACTGTGTTGCTTTTGTTCTGTCCGTTAGGTTGATTATTGCTCTTGAATTTATTCTCATCCCCAAGACAGCCGTGACGGTCCTGACCCTGCTCCCGAATGCAGCGATTGTTGATCTCGGCATAATCTTCACCATTGTCGAGGCAAACCTAGCTAAGCATAATGCTACCCCTCCCGCTTCCGCCCCCTCCCACGCTCCTGTTTTCTCACCCCGCCCATTTAGTGACTAAATAAGTTGAGAGAGTTAAGATAGTTATCTGTGTTCTTCTTTTGTTTTTTAAGAGAGTATTTGTAGGTGGGGTTTTAAGAAAATAAAGAGAAAAACTAAATACTCTCTTAAAAAACAAAAGAAGAACACAAATAACTATCTTAACTCCCTCAACTCATTTAGTCACTAAATGGGCGGGGTGGGAAAACAGGAGCGTGTGAGGGGGCGGAAGCGGGAGGGGTAGCATTAAGCTTAGCTAGGTTTGCCTCGACAATGGTGAAGATTATGCCGAGATCAACAATCGCTGCATTCGGGAGCAGGGTCAGGACCGTCACGGCTGTCTTGGGGATGGGAATAAATTCAAGAGCAATAATTAACCTAACGGACAGAACAAAAACAACACAGTTCGTAATAACTACTCTCATATTCGGGGGTCTTGTCCCCGTCCACGTGCCCATCATAATAGCGGTGGAACAGACGAAAAAAGGAGTATAGCGCATTATCCTGAGCGTTTTCGGACTTTCACCCTAAACAAAATGCAACATTATTAGGGAAAAAACTAAAATTAAAACAAAAAAAATTAAAAGAAAAACTTGTTTGTTACCGTCTCTGTTGTTGCCGCTGTTACCACCGTTGTTACCGCCTCTGTCGTCGCCGCCGCCGTCATCTCCGCCTCCGCCTCCGCCGTTATTGCCGATGTTGACAATGGCGTCGCCGCTGTTATCGCCGCCGCCGGGGTTGCGGTTTCCTAATGGAGGAGCGTTTCTACCGCCTAGCACTTGACCGTCATGGCTTTTTTGGGGATGAGAATAAATTCAAGAGCAATAATCAACCCAACGGATAGAACAAAAGCAACACAGTTCGTAATAACTACTATCATATCCGGGGTTCTTGTCCCCGTCCACGTGCCCAACATAATAGCGGTGGAACAGACGAAAAAGGAGTACAGCGCATTATCCTGAGCGTTTTCAGACTTTCACCCTAAACAAAATGCAACATTAGTAGGGAAAAAAATAAAATTAAAACGAAAAAAATTAAAAGAAAAACTTGTTTGTTACCGCCTCTGTTGTTACCGCTGTTATCGCCGTTGTTACCGTCTCTGTCGCCTCTGTTATCGCCGCCGCCGGGGTTGCGGTTTCCTAATGGAGGAGCGTTTCTACCGCCTAGCACTTGACCGTCATGGCTGTTTTGGGGATGAGAATAAATTCAAGAGCAATAATCAACCCAACGAACAGAACAAAAGCAACACAGTTCGTAATAACTACTCTCATATCCGGGGTTCTTGTCCCCGTCCACGTGCCCATCATAATAGCGGTGGAACAGACGAAAAAGGAGTACAGCGCATTATCCTGAGCGTTTTCAGACTTTCACCCTAAACAGAATGCAACATTATTAGGGAAAAAACTAAACAGTCGAAAAAGGAGTACAGCGCATTATCCTGAGCGTTTTCAGACTTTCACCCTAAACAGAATGCAACATTATTAGGGAAAAAACTAAAATTAAAACGAAAAAAAATTAAAAGAAAACTTGTTTGTTACCGTCTCTGTTGTTGCCGCTGTTACCACCGTTGTTACCGCCTCTGTCGTCGCCGCCGCCGTCATCTCCGCCTCCGCCTCCGCCGTTATTGCCGATGTTGACAATGGCGTCGCCGCCGTTATCACCGCCGTCGGGGTTGCGGTTTCCTAATGGAGGAGCGTTTCTACTACCTAGCACTTGACCGTCATGGCTTTTTTGGGGATGAGAATAAATTCAAGAGCAATAATCAACCCAACGGACAGAACAAAAGCAACACAGTTCGTAATAACTACTCTCATATCCGGGGTTCTTGTCCCCGTCCACGTGCCCATCATAATAGCAGTGGAACAGACGAAAAAAGGAGTATAGCGCATTATCCTGAGCGTTTTCGGACTTTCACCCTAAACAAAATGCAACATTATTAGGGAAAAAACTAAAATTAAAACAAAAAAAATTAAAAGAAAAACTTGTTTGTTACCGCCTCTGTTGTTGCCGCTGTTACCGCCGTTGTTACCGCCTCTGTCGCCTCTGTCGCCGCCGCCGCCGTCATCTCCGCCTCCGCCTCCGCCGTTATTGCCGATGTTGACAATGGCGTCGCCGCCGTTATCACCGCCGTCGGGGTTGCGGTTTCCTAATGGAGGAGCGTTTCTATCGCCTAACACTTGACCGTCATGGCTGTTTTGGGGATGAGAATAAATTCAAGAGCAATAATCAACCCAACGGACAGAACAAAAGCAACACAGTTCGTAATAACTACTCTCATATTCGGGGTTCTTGTCCCTGTCCACGTGCTCATCATAATAGCGGTGGAACAGACGAAAAAGGAGTACAGCGCATTATCCTGAGTGTTTTCAGACTTTCACCCTAAACAGAATGCAACATTATTAGGGAAAAAACTAAAATTAAAACGAAAAAAAATTAAAAGAATAACTTGTTTGTTACCGCCTCTGTTGTTGCCGCTGTTACCGCCGTTGTTACCGCCTCTGTCGCCTCTGTCGCCGCCGCCGCCGTCATCTCCGCCTCCGCCTCCGCCGTTATTGCCGATGTTGACAATGGCGTCGCCGCCGTTATCGCCGCCGTCGGGGTTGCGGTTTCCTAATGGAGGAGCGTTTCTACTACCTAGCACTTGACCGTCATGGCTGTTTTGGGGATGAGAATAAATTCAAGAGCAATAATCAACCCAACGGACAGAACAAAAGCAACACAGTTCGTAATAACTACTCTCATATCCGGGGTTCTTGTCCCCGTCCACGTGCCCATCATAATAGCGGTGGAACAGACGAAAAAGGAGTACAGCGCATTATCCTGAGCGTTTTTAGACTTTCACCCTAAACAAAATGCAACATTATTAGGGAAAAAACTAAAATTAAAACGAAAAAAATTAAAAGAAAAACTTGTTTGTTACCGCCTCTGTTGTTACCGCTGTTATCGCCGTTGTTACCGTCTCTGTCGCCTCTGTCGACTTGAGGGGGTCCTAGGTTGGACTAGGAGATCTGAAGGGCTCCTAGGTTGGGCTCGGAGATCAGAGAGGCGTTGGCTCATGTTGTCCTTTGGATTAGGGGAGAACTCTAGGGGCTAGGGGATGTATGCTACAGTAAACAGCGACCTTGGTGGCCATTTTATAATAGCTGGGCAGCTAGCACTAGAATGACCTACCGGACAAAATACGCGGCTCGTCACAACCTTTGACTGAGAACCGCAGAGCGACAGTCTGCGATGGACAGAGCTGATCGAGCGGGAGAGGTCTCTTTTTCTTTCGCAAAGAACAGAGGGCGGAGAGAGAGGCGGTTGGTAGAGCTAGAGGACAAGGACAGATGAGACAAGGGGAGCTATTTTATAGGTGGTTTAAGAAATCTTTGTTCTCTGCAAAAACGAAAGAAAAGAGAACTCCGTATCAACCACCCTCTGCAGAAACGAAAGAAAAGAGACCTCTCTACCGACCACCCTCTGTTCTTTGCAGAAACGAAAGAAGAGAGAAAATAAAAACAGAAATGAAAAAAATGTTTGTCTCTAGCGCCTGATACAGTGACTGCCCCGCTCAGCTCTGTCGAACGTGCGCAGACTGTTGCTCTGTGCCTCAGCGACAGTCTAAGGCTCTGGGCTCCGCATAGACAAAAAGACAGCCCAAGGGACCGCGTCCAGTTTCGATATATATATATATATGCATCCCAAACGTCACTCTCATTATTGAGCCGATATTCCTAAGCCGAAGGGTCATCAGTCCAACTGCTGCAATAAACAACATTAATTCTGACCTAAAACCAAAGGTTAATGTAGTAATCACTATAATGAAAGCTTAATACTTTGGTCCAATTAAGTTCATTATAGTCGTATCGCCGGCGGAGAAGAGGGTGACAACAGCGTCGTCGTCGGGGTTGGGGTTTCCTAACGCAGGGGGGTTTTGACTTTTTCCCGTCCAGAATCGTTGAAAAACGCTCGTAGTCGTTATCGCCGGCGGAGAAGAGGGTGACAACAGCGTCGTCGTCGGGGTTGGGGTTTCCTAACGCAGGGGGGTTTTGACTTTTTCCCGTCCAGAATCGTTGAAAAACGCTCGTATCTCTCTCTCTCTCTCCGCCCTCTGTTCTCTGCAGAAATGAAAGAAAAGATAACTCCGTACCAACCACCCTCTGCAGAAACGAAAGAAAAGAAACCCTCTACTGACCACCCTCTGTTCTTTGCAGAAACAAAAGAAGAAAGAAATAAAAACAGAAATGAAAAAAATGTTTTTCTCTAGCGCCTGATGCAGTGACTGCCCCGCTCAGCTCTGTCGACCGCGCACAGACTGTCGCTCTGTGCCTCAGCGACAGTCTAAGGCTCTGGGGCTCTGGGCTCGGCGAGCAGCCTTTGACGGCGGACCACCGTCAAAGACTGCGTCGACGACTGCTAGGCGCTCTACTATTATAAAACAGCCCACCAAATCCGCTATTTACTATAGCCTATCTCAGCCCCCAACCCTAGAGTTCTCTTGAAATCCAAAGGAAAATATGAGCAAACGGCAATGCCTTTCTGATCTACTAGCTAGCAGCCCCTCGAATTCTAAGACAAGACCCAACTAGAAATCCTCTCGACGGCCTCTGATAGAACCCCTCAAATCCTATGCCCCCAGGAGGGAATCCCTCAAATCCCAAACGCCATCGCCTTCTCCTACTTTGGAGTTAAGGATGGTGACAAAGACCAACCCTAGTCGTCCCATCTGCGGGACCAGCCCAAGCTGTCCTATGTGTTTGGACGTTAGCCCTCACACTCCGTTCGCCACTGTTGCTTGCGCCGATGCTGTTGTCGCCGTTGTTGTCGGCCGCTGTTACCCGCCGCTCTCTGTTTTGGGGTTTCGTCGGCCGTCATTCCCGCACCGTGCGTCTGTTGTCGCCGCTTCCCTTGTTGTCGCCACGTTATCGCCTGCGGAGAAGAGGGTGACAATGGCGTCACGTCGGGGTTGGGTTTCCTACCGCAGGGGGTTTTGACTGTTTCCCGGTCGGCATCGTGGAAAACGCCCGTAGCCACCATGATAGCAGTGGAACAAATGAAAAAGGAATAAAACATTACCCTTAGGGTTTTCCGCCTCAACTGTTCACTCTAAACAAAATACAATATTATTAGACAAAAAACCTAAACTTAAAACTAAAAAAAAAACATATTTGGACATTGGCCCTCACGTCTCCGTCTCCGCTGTTGCCGCTGACGCTGTTGTCGCCGTTGTTGTCGCCGCTGTTACTGCCGCTTCTGTGTTGCCGCCGTCATTTCCGCTACCGTCTCTATTGCCGCCGCCTCTGTCTGCACCCGTTTTCCGCTATTGTCGCCGCCATTATCGCCGGCGGAGAAGAGGGTGACAACGGCGTCGCCGCAGGGGTTGGGGTTTCCTAACGCATGGGGGGTTTTGACTGTTTTCTGTCCAGAATCGTTGGAAAATGCCCGTATCTCTCTCTCTCCGCCCTCTGTTCTCTGCATAAATGAAAGAAAAGAGAACTCTGTTGTGTACGAAGAACATTGTATTGAGTAATGTACTAATGTAAAATTCTTATATTAATAAACTGTGTTGTGTACGAAGAACATTGTATTGAGTAATGTTACCTGAAAAAATTCGATTGTGTGTGAAGTTTATTAGAACGACATACACTATAAAGTGTAAGAACTCGTAAATGGAACTAATTAAGGAGGTTATGTAGCCTTTCTTCAAGCCATAGTATTTCGGAAACGTTCATGAGAATAAATTTGTTTAGTTTGTTAGCGATCAACTTTAATTTTATTGAATTCAGAGTTCGAGGGTCTGACGCATGCATTTGGGTTTCCTACAGTTCACTAAGAAGTCAGATAATAAGGTGGACAACGTCACACTGCAAGTTGTTTGCGTCTTCCCAGCATCTATTCATCGATCACTTGATCTCATAACAACCGGCAAGCTAATTGAGGTTAAACCAACAAAAATCCGATTCCCATGTAAGTTATTTTCCTTCCATCAGATTTTTCGATACTCTTTCTAATCTCGATCAATGTTGGGGGTCTTATTTGTTATATTCCCACTTTACTCGTTTAATTTCATAGTTTTGGTTTGATCAGTTGAATTAAAGAAGCAGATACCGAGCTCTATCTTTATATCCAACAAAACTGATGACCACATTGCCCTTAAGGTAATTCTAATTGATTTTTTTTTTGGATAGATTCATAAAACACATAAAAATTAACTGATGTTTTCTGTGTCTTTTTCCTCTTGTTGTAGTTAACGTCCACGAATTGGGTGGACTACAGAATTCGACCTTCCATGGCAATCCTCTTACCACGATCCACGCGCGAAGTCATTGGTTGTACGGTCACATTTTAATTTGCTAATATATCAGGCTTTTAGGTGGATTTGGACAATGGCTAAGGTTGCGAAGCATGTACAATAAACCTGAACTGATTCTATAAACTTGAATGGTAGATCAGTTTGTACAATAAACTTCGAAGGAACATTGATAGTAGTTTCTTGAACATTAAGTTAGTCATAATCATCGGGAGGGTCTAAGGATTTATCAAAGGCAACATGACGTGATTTGCTCCTAAAGAAGGTAACATCAGCTGAAATAATATACTAATTCAAGGAGGGACAATAATATTTGTATTTCTTTTTGAGTCCTAAAATATCCAAGAAAAATAACTCTAAGAGGTTTCTAATCTAATTTATCTACTGAGGGCTATGATTTGGCTTGGACAGGACATTTGGTTCATGTCGCTATTCCCGCATCCCGAGGGGAGTATGTCAGATGAATTAATTTCTTAGATGTACTATCGTATCTTTAAGGGTTGGAACAACTTCTTATGGGCTGTGGAATCTTTATGCGCAAAATCTTGATTCCTAAGTAAAGCAAAGAGACCCTAGGATCTTATGACGTAAATGAAAAATATCTTCAGCTAGATGTACAAGGTATGTAAAACATATGATGGTAATCTATTAATTAGATAGCAGGTTGTCAAAATGGCATCCCCTAAAAATATTTTGTAAACTACCATGGAATAATAAGTTTCTAGCAATTACTAGTAAGTATCTTTTCTTGCACTCAGCCACCCTATTTTGTTGAGTGTGTGTAAGTACAAGATGACTGATGTAGAATTTTATTTTTTAAATATTTAGTGAAAGAGCTATCAAAATATTCCTTAGTGTTATCTGTTATTAAAGTTTTAATGATATTATAAAATTAATTTTTAACTTCAACATAGAAAACTTTAAAAACAAAGAACACTTCAAAATGACTTTTTAGCAAGTAAATCCCAGTCACGTGAGAAAAACCATCCACAAAGCTAATAAAATATTAGAAACCAAGTTTGGATGGAAACAAAACAAGGAATCCCTATATTTGAATGAACTAAATAAAATAGATTATTACCCTATTATTGACACAACTCAGGTAAGACACATGTTGGTATCTTTTGAGTTGACATGACTCACAATCTAAGGACTCGATATGATTTAAATCTGAAACTAAAGTTTTAAGAGTCGAAAAAGGGGGAGGTGACCAAACCAACAATGAGCTACAAAGGTTGATGTGTAGCTGATACATGCTATCTGGGCTAGGACAAAGTCACCGGAGGATGCCATTAACCCAGCAAATAAGATCTTCAACTAGTAATCTCCCAGTAAATAACTATCAATCTCACCCAACGGCAAATCAATCTAATAATTAAATTACTAATAAGTAATCACCCTCACAAGAAGCAATCAATCCACCAAGTAAAACCTTCCTACAAGATTGGTATCTTCAAGGAAATAAATGACTTATTACTTATCTCAAAGAGATTTTTCACGACTTGTTGTTAAGATGAAGCTAAATAATTAGCTTAATCGAATTGGTTAATGATTAGTTTAAGATCTATGAAAATCTAGTTGATTAAGCCAAATGACTAGCTTGATCAAGTAAGGCATGGAACAGATGAACAACTACTAGTATTGAGAAGCATCGCGGATGAACAATATCTCTGATGAACAGTAGCCCGTGTAATAATACCAAGGGATGAACAGTGTCGTTGAATTGTAATGTGGTCGGATGTGGTGGCGGCGAGGGTTGACGGTTGACGGCATATGGTTAGGGTTTGATGGCAATGGGTGGTAGCTCGCGTTTTAGAGTAGTAGAAGGTGGCAGCTAGGTTTAAGAAGGTGGCTGCTAGGATTTAGAAAACTAGAGAGAGGAGAGATTGGCTCTGACATGTTAATGTGAACCTTTGAGAGATTTTTAGCTCCCTTTTGAATATGATTAAGGAGAGATTGGCTCTGACATGTTAATGTGAACCTTTGAGAGATTTTTAGCTCCCTTTTGAATATGATTAATTGTGTTTTGGATAATAAAGGAGTTTGTGAACCTTTGAGAGATTTTTAGCTCCCTTTTGAATATGATTAATTGTGTTTTGGATAATAAAGGAGTTTGTCTTTGACCAATATGACACTAAACAATAAGGAATAAACAACTCTCTCAACAGTGAACATCACTGAGCCGATGGTGGTTGTAGTGGCCCAATATGGCTGAATCATTAGGTCGACATTTCTTGTCCAAAATAATCCCCTAAAAATCATAGAAGATAATACCATCATTAATGAGTTGAAGTCCAACATATCCACATTGGCAGTTGGGTCAAAGTGTAACTCAGTTTTCAATTTGAATGTGGATTGAGTGGAATTTTCGAGGTTGATAGAAGTGAAGCAAGCAAGATTGTTGAAACACTATAAATCTTCATGTTTGTGGTTGTGTTTTTTTTTGTAGTGATCTCTAAAATTGCATCTTTTTTGTGCTTATTATGATTATCTGTGGCGTAATTTATATTGGGATAGAGTTGTGGAAATTGTTTAGCTCACAGAGAAAACATAATTGTAACAATTACATTTTTTTTAAAGTCTAAATTTTTAAATAGCCGTCATGTCACCCAATTCACACTCCTCTAGGGTAACTTTTAGTTAGTATCAGAGCGCGGGTTGTTAGGCGTGACTTAATCGTTCAGAATGAGATCATATGACAACATAAAACATGACAACAACAATTGCATCTCTCTTCACAAAAGGTACGAATATCACAATACTTCCATTATTTGATGGGAACATGTGTTTTTGGCTCAGATCGAAGGAAGATGTGGTGTTCTTCGGGACTCGGGCTTCACAGATCACAGAGAAGGGGGTTCACTTCTCCTTATTTTTATTTGGTGGGTTCTCAACAATCATAATTTTGGTTTGTTTTTTGTTTTTGTTTTTGTTTCTTAAGGAGTTAGAGTTCTCGTTTAGTTAGGGATTTTAGAGGAGTTTGGAGATAACAAACTCAAAGAAGAGTAAAGAATTATATATCCATCGTCAGTTACGTCTCTGGTCGATGATGTAATATAGTTTCAAAAGAACTCCAACTACTGAAGTCGGTTGCCGAACCAAAGGGTATAAATTAAATTAAACGGTACTACTGTTATTGTTTTAAATTAAACAAAGCTAGGCTCATCATCATCATCATCATCATCATCATATCTCTCTCTCTCTTCCATGGCAACCGGCAAGCTGATTCAAGTCGACCCGCCCGAACTCAGGTTCCCATGTAAGCAGCTAATCTGGGATTTTACTGCGAATTAAGCTGATCTCTTCTTCTTGGCTCATAATTCATCTAATTTCTTTGTTTTGTTTTGTTTTTCCCCCCGGCCAATTAATCAGTCGAATCAAGAAGGCGCATCCCGTGTTACATCATGTTAACCAACAAAACCGATGACCACGTCGCCTTTAGTGTAACTCTCGATCGTTGGGGTTTTTTCTTTTTTCCTTTCAGTCGGAGTAATTAAGAAAAGACATAAAATAATACAAACTAAATTGATGTCTTTTCTTTTCTTTTTGCCCCCCACTTTTCTGGTTTGATCTATAGCTTTGTTCGGATGCCGTAGAGGAGTACATCGCTCAGCCCAACAGAGAGATCCTCTCGCCCCGATCCACATGCAAAGTCGAAGGTAATTTTTGTAATATTGTTTATGAATATATAATACACGTATTTGGTGTACCTAGTTGGATTATTTACTTATTTATTTGGTTGTTAGTAATAATGCTACCGCGGAGGAAAGCACCACATCGCCAAGATTGAAGTTCATAGCGTCGTCACCTTCGCAGGAGCCGGTGTTGATGACATTAAATGCAAATGGGTAATTTAATCAAAATTTTTATGTAGCTTTAAGTTTGTTTTAATTCGGATTTATGACGCATTCTTACTTGCGCCTCGCAACGGTGCGTGTTTCGAACCACTAAAATGCTCGTACTATGCACGCGAACGTACCTTTATTTTATTTTTTTTAATTCTTTTCCATCTAGTGCAAAATTGTAATTGTACTAATGTAAAATTCTTATATTAATAAACTGTGTTGTGTACGAAGAACATTGTATTGAGTAATGTTGCCTGAAAAAATTCGACTGTGTGTGAAGTTTATTAGAACGACATACACTATAAAGTGTAAGAAATCGTAAATGGAACTAATTAAGGAGGTTATGTAGCCTTTCTTCAAGCCATAGTATTTCGGAAACGTTCATGAGAATAAATTTGTTTAGTTTGTTAGCGATCAGCTTTAATTTTATTGAATTCAGAGTTCGAGGGTCTGACGCATGCATTTGGGTTTCCTACAGTTCACTGAGAAGTCAGATAATAAGGTGGACAACGTCACACTGCAAGTTGTTTGCGTCTTCCCAACATCTATTCATCGATCACTTGATCTCAAAACAACCACCGGCAAGCTAATTGAGGTTAAACCAACAAAAATCCGATTCCCATGTAAGTACATCTCCTTCCATCAGATTTTTCGATACTCTTTCTAATCTCGATCAATGTTGGGGGTCTTATTTGTTATATTCCCACTTTACTCGTTTAATTTCGTAGTTTTGGTTTGATCAGTTGAATTAAAGAAGCAGATACCGTGCTCTATCTTTATATCCAACAAAACTGATGACCACATTGCCCTTAAGGTAATTCTAATTGATTTTTTTTTTTTTGGATAGATTCATAAAACACATAAAAATTAACTGATGTTTTCTGTGTCTTTTTCCTCTTGTTGTAGTTGACGTCCACGAATTGGGTGGACTACAGAATTCGACCTTCCATGGCAATCCTCTTACCACGATCCACACGCGAAGTCATTGGTGAGTTTTGTAAATTTTACAAAATTTCTACCTGTTTGATCTCCTTTTGCTATAGTTCTAATTAATTCAGTTTTTTTAATTATAGTTCTAATGGAAGATCAAAGGAAAGCACCACGTAACATGAGATGCGATTTCTCTTTGACTGTTAATGCCGTCGTCACCTTTGCAGGAGCCACTGTGAAGGACGTTGCTCATAACATGGTAATTCAATATTTTAAAAAATAGCTATAGGTTTATTTTGATTCTGGTCTATGTGGTGTGATTTTGGAAAATCGACATAATAATATTACACGCTCAATGCTTGCAATTGTTTGTGTTTGTTTATTTTGAATTAATTTAGAGGTTGTCTCAATAAGACGTTTAAGCTCATTCGCATTTTGAATTGGAATTGTGAAATACACTGCCCAGGTTATTAACTAAAACAAGGTTTGATTTGAAATTATGTTTCCCATGGTTTACTAATTAATTCCTATGAGATCATGCCATGCTCTTTTTCTGAACTTAACTTGGTCATGAAAATATATTTTGTTTGCTTCGTTGAAGATGTTTATTTTTAGATATCAAGAACGGGTAGGATTGTCTAAAATTGAATTTTGCATGTAGTTTGCTACAAGTCACACATACTATGGAGGATAACAACTTAGATATGAAGCTAAGGGGGGTTACTCTTAAATTAAATCCCTCTAACCATTACATCAAAACTCCAAAGTTATGGTGAGAATTGAGGATTATAGTTTTATATTAATTCTATCATGTTCCCCGAGGTTGTGTGTCCTTTTTACACATTGAGAACCTGGACTCATGCAACTGCAACCATTTTTTAAAATCCGGATTAAATCATGGCCGTCAAGATTCGCACATGGATTGCTTTGATACCATTCGTCAAGTCCCTCTACTATTGAACATAATGTTAGTATTTGTTTGTAAAAAACAAAATAGTCCCACATTGGAATTTTGAACATTCTTTTAGAGGTTTATGTTAGTATTTGTTTGTAAAAAACAAAATAGTCCCACATTGGAATTTTGAACATTCTTTTAGAGGTTTAAAAGCATTGAATGCTTATTGGGCTTTGAATAATGGATCAAAGTGTAGGCTTCTAAACCCGCGTGCGGGTAGCGCGAATAATGCGCGATTTTGACGCGATTATAATTATATATATAATTATATATTGAATATATATATAATTATATATTGAATATATTTTATTTTTAATATTATTTTAAATTTTAAAAATTATGAAAAGACAAGACTGTTGAAAAGTGGCTGTTTAATCCAAGGGGTGTTTTGAAAAGTTGTGACTATTGGAAGCACCTTTTCAAAATCTATAAATAGTTTATATTTTCAGATATCAAAAAAAAAAAGAATTCTTTTTCTGAATCTTTTCTAGCAAAAACATCTGCAATATTACAAACTTGTTTCACAACGAATTAAGGAAAATTCCAGATTTGCTTACTGGAATTTTCATTTTCTGTTGTATCCTGGGAAGAAAATTTGCATTAACCCGAAGCAACTTTGAATATCAAGTGGGGGCAAATATTTCTTTAAGGAAAGTGTTTCACGCCTCGGAATTTCTGTCTCCTTCAATATTAAAACTAACACATAAACTCTAAAGTTATAATGAGGGTTGAAGATTATAATCTTATATTAATTCTAACAGTTACTAAGTCCTTAAGCCATAAAATTTGGGATCCGATCATGAAAAAAATATTTGTTTGAGTTTGTTAAAAGAGGCCTGTTAGCTTTTCCTTAATCCAAAGTTTGAGCGTCTGATGCGTGCAAGTGATTTTTTCTTCAGTTTTTCAGAGAGTCGGGTAATACAGTAGACAAGGTGGAGCTGAAAGCTATTTATGTATCACCGCCTAAGCTTCCATCGCCGGTTCCTGAGAGATGCGACAAGAGATCTTTGTATTGGGCTTCTGCTACAGCAACTTTACAAAAATTTTACAATGTGAGCATTTAAGTTATTTTTCGATCTGCTACAAGAATTATTTTGTTGCTTCTTTAGCTCTCTTAATATTTAGTATCTAGTGTTTCATGGAGATCCTTTGTCGATATTTATGGAGATTGTAGATCTCCTTTTTTTAAGGGGCAAAAATAAACAAATAAATAATAAATAAAAAGAAGGATTTCCTTTCTTTACCGGAGATTGTAGCTTTCCTTTATTTACTGGAGATTGTAGATTCCCGTTTTTACTTGATTGTCACTTTGGTTGCGCATATCTTATATTTGAAGATTACAAAATTTTAAATTTAGTGTAACAAGTAGTATGAAATAAATTAGCCATAATCTTTATAAAACACGTGGTATTTGTAATATCTAGGTTAACCGTATTCACATTGGAAACTTATTATTATCTCTGTGTGTATTTTTTGTGAGTTCCTTTATTCACCTCATTGCTATTATAAATCGAACTGCCTCTATGGGTGAATTTTTTGTGCATACTTACAATTATCTAATGCTACATAAAATCATAATTGAGTCTTACAATTATCTAATACTACATAAAATCATAATTGAGTCCCTTTTATATTCTTATCCATATAATGACTTAAATTTCAGGGCTTAGCGAGGAGGAGAATGTGGAAATCCTGCACAAAAATAAACTTTGATAGTAACTTGTGAGTAGAACAACTCGTATCCTTCATCTTATCAATTTGAGTTTGTTACCTTTTGTTCTTAACCTTTTTTATTATAATTTTGAATTAGACCGAATTTAAAAGTAGTGTGGAGAGGAGAAGAGATAAAGAGTTTTACAATCTTTATTTGTTTAAAAGATTGTAAGAGGACTTTGGAGGAATATGACATGTTAGTTATGTATGTAAAGTTGGGAGATTGAGAGACAAAAGTTTCTGCTTCCCCTTATAATTCTATATTTGTATTATGCACCGTGGACATACGCCGAAGTTGGTCAACTGAACCGTTTTAAATATTGTTGTACCTCTGAGTAGAAAGAAAATTGACATAATATAGAAATTATTACTAATTATTCAACCTAATTGTAGTATTATGTAAGGAGCGTTCCTTTACTATTTTTCTCCGATATTTGACTTGTGTCTTCATCATGCCTTTATCCAGGATCAGAGAGCCGTTGCTGGTTTCTTCTTCTAATCAAACTGGAGGATAAATGTGTCATACAATTCAAATACATATATATAATGCGGAAGTTCCTAATTATTTATATCGCATTGCACGAGGTAATTATGTTTCCAAACCACATATGAAACATGAATGCGATATGTGGTTAATTTTTTAAAAGAACAGGGTTTTGGTTCATGTTCTTTTGCTTTTTTTTTTAACAAACTCAGATCGTAATCCCAAAAGATCGACAGCCGCTCTGGTATTATGTTGATCAGCATTTTTATTTTTGATTGAATATGAATTAATAACATTCATACCATTAAAAGAGCAAACTTGCAAAGATTTCGAATCCTCTTGATTGACTTTGACTTCGTATTGAATTTATTTGGAATGTGGTGGAATGAGCTGGTCTTGAATTATGGATGAATGATCAGTATGATAAAATTTCTATTTCTTTGAGTTGACTTTATATAAGTTTTAACCCATTTTAAAAAATTTATCTATCTATACGACTCTATTAAAGTAATCATTGGGGTACATAAAGTGGAGGAATGAGTGTTTATTCCTTCAAAAATGTTAGAGACACAACTCCAACCACAATCCCAATGCCTCCAACCACAATCCCAGCATTAGGATTGTGGTTGGAGTTGTGCCCGTAGCACTACTCTTATTCCTTTAATTTTATTGGAATTGGTAGTCATTTTGGCCCTGTTTGGTTTGACTGAAAATGATGGAAAAGAAAAGAGATTTGTGTTGTTTGGTTTGATGGGAAGATAAAAAGAAAATGAAAATAAGAATCAAAGAAGAAAATAAGGCTCTGAATTTTTGTTCTCAGCATCCTCCTATAGAGCTAGTGAAAGTTGAGGAAAATTTTGTCAGGGTCGGCCAACCACAACTCCTGCGATCTTATTTTATCTCGAAGCAACTATCCACTGCGTCCAAGAACAGACATCCTCCATTAAAAGGTATATTCAGCTTCATGGGCCCAGCTAGGGCATTTATATAGGTTTAAGTAAACTATACACACATGAAAAAAATCACGTATAGAATTCTCTTTATAGGATATATTATGGTAAATTACCCTGAACGCCCATAAACTTTCAGTGCTTTATAGTAAACCTCCATGAACTTTCATAATCACACTAAATGTCCAATAACTTTTGCAGAAATCCACCATGATCTTTTAGGTAAATTACACTAAACACTCATGGATTTCAAAACGCCTCTTTATGCTGTTTTTTTTTCCAATTTAAGGGGGTTGTCTACAAAACTCAAAAAGTTTGTGGGAGTTTTCTACAATTGCAAAAAGCTCAAGGGTTCAAGTATAATTTTCATGTATAAGGGTAAGTTAATTATTTTTTATCTTATTTTTATTTATTTTCCTTCAAATTTCTTTCTACAATTCCTAACCAAACGTTAAAAAAATCTTTTTTCCTTTTATCATCCTTTTCCTTTCTTTTCCTTTTCCATTTAATTTTCTTTTCTTTCACTTTACCTCAAACCAAAAACAGTCTTTAAAAAGAGGTGATGCTCGACATAATGTTTTTTTATTAGTTAAAAAGATAAATAGATCAAGTTGAATGAATGGATCATCCACTTTTATAAAAAGAATACATACTTTGTACGCGCGGCAGCGTTTGGTAACAAGACTGTTTTTTCTGTTTCTGTTACTTTTTTTCAAAAAATCAATGAAATGTGTTTAGGAAGTGAGGTGTTTTTTTAAGCTGACCATATACAATATCCAAAAGATCCAACGCTTTTCTCCCCTGACCCGTCGCCTAGCCTCCAACGTGTCGCCCAGCCACCGACCGGTCGTCGCAGCCGTCTCCGCGTCTCCAAG